GTCTCTTGGAAGGCAATCAGGCATTCAACAAAGAGATAAGGTAGGGGAAAGAAACGCTGTGCTCTTTACAAAGCAAGTTGATCCTTTATAAATAAGATAGAGTGCACTGTGACATGTATGTTAAATATATATACAAAATATAAAATCATATTAAAATAATGCCCTTCACTACTTTTGTTTCCTTCTTAGCTGATACTGTTGCTATTTATTTTCTCCAACTCTCCAGCTGATACCAGGTGGCATTACTGACACTTTTTCTGTTTCTTTTAAACTTAAACTGCAGAAAAAAAGGTCAACCACCCAGCATCTTTGTTTCTGCCGAAGGCCTCTGAGCGAAAAGAGGGAGGAAAGCAGAATGATAAATTTTTTAAAATGTGCATGACGCTGTATTTGCAGTTCCTCCAAGCGGCCTTGAACTTCTGATCCTGCCCTAATACATTACTGGTTCTGCTGTAATGGTAATGGAAAAATCTTATACATGAGTCCCTCCGACATTGGGGGCTCACATCCAAGTAAATGGGTTGAGACAGTCTCATTTTTTAAAACATAGTGAACTAAGCTAGTAAATTATTAACAAAGCTTTAATAAGATTTGCTACTTGCATTTCTCAACATGTGTTGTGTTATTTGAGTTAGAGCCTCTATTTGAGAAATAAGGACTGACATTTAAAACGCACTCCTATAGCTCATCTACTAAGAACTAAAGCCTATGGCGTTAACTGGGATACTTAATCAGGGAGTAAGCCACTATTGCTGGCTTATAATACCGTGTGGCATTTGTTTTTTCAGCTCAGATCTGTTTGTCAAATGGTCTGATGAATTTCATTTTGAACGACTAGGATTCCAAACAAGAGTTATTACTAGCTTTTCTTTCTGTTCAGAATTAATGTTTTCTTTTTATATAATAAGCAGTGTATTTTCCTTCAGTGAAACAGAATAATACTTTCTTTCAAAATCTCCCTCCCAGTCACATAATGGCTCAGAATGGTGCATAGGTAGCCTTTTCCATGTTGCCCAGCACATACATACACACAAATACATATTATAAAGGGTTCCAGAACCCATGCTCTGCACACTTTCCCTACCCTTTTTAGAAGAACTATTACAAAACCTTGTGATCTCACCGATGAGCTTGAAAATTAATCTGAAACTAAAAGGCTACCTCCATTTGTAGAAATGTGGTTTTCAACTGGCTTGAATGCATAGCAGGGAATTGCCCACACTGATGCACCTAATAACCATTCCAAAATCTCTAGTGTCTTCAACTGGTACATAAAGGTGTTCAAATGTCAAAATACAGTAATGGGAGTATCAAACTTTTTTGGTGCTTTATTTCCTATGTACATTTTTTCACTCTACATTATTAATAATGCACATCTGCCTGTGCAAACTAGTCAAATTTACAGAGGAATTATTGGGAGGGGGGAGTTTCGAAAATCATTTAAGTTGGGTTTACCCAACATTCTAAGCTTAGCTTTGGTGAATACTGACAAGAGAGTAAATTCATAAAGTGGCT